GTTAGCAGAGGAAAGATGAAAGAAACAGGAGACAGAGTGAGGAATGCAATTTTACAATGAATAAAAGTAAATGCTGTTAACTGTTGGTACATGTAGGGGATTGCAACCATGCAGTGAGAAAAGATGTATGGTTTATTGAATGATTTGTTCTGTAAACCTTCACTCAACTCACAATAAAAAGTTTAAAAAAAAAATTGAATTGAAGAGGCTCACAATCAATTAGTCCAATGGACTAATTAATAGTGCATGTGAATGTCAGTCGCCACAACTCTGAGACCAGAAGAAGTAGACAGTGCCCAACTACCACTACCAACTTCCCAGAAAAAAAGTGAAAGAAAACATGGAACAAAACTCAAAATTATTGAACAATAATAAATGAAAAAAAGACATGGGTTTACTGGTCAGAAATTAATAAATAAATAAAAAGTTACGATGCCAAATTATTTTGCTGTATATATTTTACCACATTAAAAGTTTTTAAAATTCACTTCACCAAGAAGGAGATCCAGGCAGCCAACAAACATATGAAGAAATGTTCAAGATCACTAGCCATTAGAGAGATGCAAATCAAAACAACAATGAGATGTCATCTCACACCAGCAATAACAACAAAGATCAAAAAAGTAGAGGACAATAAATGCTGGCAGGGATGTGGAGAGACAGGATGCTCCTGCATTGCTGGTGGGATTGCAAAATGATCCGACCTCTCTGGAAAACAACATGGCGCTTCCTCAGAAGGTTGGAAACAGAAATACCTTATGATCCAACAATTCCTCTACTTGGTATTTACCCACAAGAAATACGAGCCATAACACGAGTAGATATATGCACACCAATGTTCATATCAGCACTATTTACAACAGCAAAAAGATGGAGACAGCCAAAGTTCCCATCAACTGAAGAACGGATAAACAAACTGTGGTACAAACACACAATGGAATATTATGCTACCTTGAAGAATAACAAAGAAGCTGCAAGCCACTGCATAGCATGCATGAACATTGAGGACATTGTGTTGAGTGAAATGAGTCACTCACAAAAGGAAAAATACTGCATAGGACCACTACTGTAAAAGACTAATAAAAAGAACCCATACTAAAGGAGCTCTGGTAGCGTAGTGGTTACGAATCGGGCTGCGAACCTTAAGGTCAGCGGTTCGAAACTACCAGCCGCTCCGCGGGAGAAAGATGAGGCTTTCTACTCCCGTAAAGATTTACACCCTCGGAAACCCTGTACAGGGTCGCTATGGGTCGGACCCGACTCGATGGCACTTAACAACAACAACAACAATACTAAAGGAGTGGGAGGGATTTCTTTGCTGGTTGCTGGGATGTGGGCAGTGGGGTGAGGGGAGAGAGGAGAAGGTGGAGCATAGGGCAGGGAATAGGCGTGGGATAGTTTGGGTGCTGGAGAGGGGGTAATATGAAAGAAGGGGGAGGGGAATGGAAGAACAAAGCTGATGGGAGAACAATTAGGCAGGTTTGCATGGGTTAAGTGGGACAGAGGTAAAGAATGATGTATGCACAACCTTGAAACAACAGGGCTCTGGGATACAGGGATTGAGAAAATGGTTGGAATGGGCAAAAGGGGGGAAATGATGTTAAGATGCTTGGCTGTCTTTTGAATCTTGGTTTCCCTTGCATACCATTACAAAATAGACACTGGAAGGGGAGAGAAAGAAATAGTCAGACATATCACCATAGAAAGCTTGTAAGTCCGTCTTCTGACTAAAACTGATTGGAATACCTAAAATGGGGCTACAACGTGCCCAGTGAAGAGGCTTCCTGTGCAGCGTCTGCATTACATAAGACTATAGGTGAACTCCTGAACAACATCCAGTATCTTCAGAGGTGGGAAATTTCCACTTGAAAGGATGGGCAGACCAGCCTGGAGCAGCTAGAAGAACAGAAGATACTTCTTGAAAGAAAGACCTACAGGAAAAATACAAAACAATAGAGGCAGACTGGCTGATTACTACAAGAAAAAGCAAGTTGCTTGCCCAGAAGACAACAAGGTTAGTGGTCAGGTCCCCTTAAAGCAAACCCCCTTCCAAGACTAAGATTCAATGGGAATACATGCTCTGATTGGTGACCACGTTCATCACCAATAAGGAGAAGTGAGGGAAAAGCAGCAATGAAGCTGTGAACTAAGCCCTACAATGCTCAATAGACTCCTGTGAACCCGGGTGGAGACCTGGTTGGCCAGCAGTGTGGCAAGGCCTGGGGACTCTTGGGCCCAGAGTCAGTGACATAACCACAGAGGACTAGAGAAGCATCCAGCTCATAAGAAGAGAGGGCATATACACAAGAACACCCACACTTGCAGATAAGACCCACCTGACCTGGCTTCAATGACTGGATGATCAGAACCTCAACTAGAAGAAGAAAGAAGAGGAAAAAAAGAGTAATCTGATACAATTTGATGAACATAACCTACACCAATGGATGCAGTAGCTCAAAAAAGGGAACAAATCTTTACAGCAAGGATCATTCCCACCCCTCCCCCATACACAGAGTAGACAGGGATGGGCAACTTGGACATTGGCTACCCAAACTTGGATGGCTACAAAGATAAGAAGTGACTGGATCTAGGGAACCTAGATCCAGAGGGCGTGGAGCAAGGTAGAATCTCCACTGAGTAGTATCCAATCTGTCTAGGTGGGGCTGATGAAAGAAATGTGGATAGGTCTTTTGTGATACAGTAGTGAATAATTGTTACTAGGACTTATTGTGAGGGTTGGAAATGTAAAGATAGATGTTTTGTAGCAAGGAGGGAAGAGAGTAACTTTGCAGTCTAGGAGTGGAGGTCCCTGGGATCATCGGGGAGAATAGCGGAGAGCAGGACCCTACCCAGAGAAGCAGTGACGCCAGAAATGGAGGCAGAGACAATGACGTGGAGAGATGGAGCAGCTGGGGACTTTAGACCCAGAGAGGGAGAGGGGCTGTGTGCTGAAGACCTGGGGGAAGACTTGTAGTGTATACCCTTTGGTTGGTTGATGATGCATGGAGGGGATTGTAACCATGGCAATGAAACGGATATACGATAGGATGAATGTAAAACTAATGTACTCCCATGTAAACTATCACATAACTCACAACAAAACATTTTTTAAAAAGTTTTAAAAAATAAGCAAACAAGGAACACCAATAGGTGAAGGTAGTCATAAAATCCTTATTTCCTTTTTGGATAAAAAAAAATTGTTGTCGTTATTGTTAAGTGCTGTAGAGTAGGTTCTGACTCATAGCGACCCTGTAAAGGGTTTCCAAGGAGTGGCTGGTGGATTTGAACTGCCGACCTTGCAGTCCAGTGCATTATTCTCATATATGTACAAGGGTCGCTAAGAGTCAGAACCCACTCCACGGCACATAACAACAACAACAACATTAAGTTTTTAATCCTCTTAACCTACTAAATGGAAACACCCTGTGTCCTTTTAAAAAAGCCCCAATTACATAGACGGTTAAGTGGTAGGAGGTCAATGGTTCAAACCCACCAGCTGCCCCATGAAAGAAGGATGAGACTGTCAGTTCCCATAAGGATTTACAGTCCAGGAAACTCCACAGAGCGGTTCTGCACTGTCCTATAAGGTGGCTTTGAGTCGGAATTGACTCAATAGCAGAGGCAGTGGATCTGTGTCTTTTTAAATTCATTGCCTAAGACGTGTACCACCATCACTGTAACCTTCAGGGCCTCATAAGAATTTCATCTAAGATAACTGATGACTAGTCAATGCTTCACCAAGCAGAAAACCAGCAACAGAGTGCATATATTTTTAAAAAGTGAACACCAAAAATGAAAGTCCGATAGATCTGCCATATCTGAGTATGTATCTGACAAAAAAAAAAAAAAAAAATCAAGTACAGGCAGCAAAATCTAATGTTGGTAAAAATTATATTCGCAGTAATACTTTATTGTTTAATTTTACAGCATGAAACTCTGTAAGTTATTTCATCATCTAAATATAACAATGAATTTACACCAAAATGTTCAAATGTTTTCGCTCAATACTGACTGAACACTACTTTCACTCAACATTTATCATTGCTATTTCCAGAACTCACTATAATATACAATGCTTACAATTCTTTTTTAACAAGTCACTTGAAGAGAAAGTCAGCCCAGTGAAGTACTTGTCATTTTGATTCTTTTTTAAGCTTAAATCAGATAGGCACAATTTTTTTATATATATTATATGAGAAACATAGAGACAGTCTTTTAAGGATGTAAAACTTAAATCTACTTCTTCCTCATGGCACAGCTATCATTTCCACAGAATTCTACTCCTCTATCAATGCAGTGTGTTCAATAAGTCTTAAATTTTTTATCCCAAATGGAAAGATTTATTTAAACATAGAGATCAGAATTGATTAGCTCAGTTGATTGGTTAGCTTATTTCTACCAGAAGCTAATTGGTGTCAATGGGAAAAGGGTACCATAGTCAAAATTATTATTATAATATTACTAAGTTAACTAAAATTAAGCAATTTCCTATATTGCACTCTTTATTACTATCCAGTAAACCTCTTCAAAAGGAAGGTGTAGTATGTGGCAATAACCAAGCTTATTTCACTGCAGAGTTATTTTTTATATCTTATATTACCAATTAACATGTAGCAGGAGTTTTTTGAGGAACACACATTGAGAACCACACATTAGAATAAGACACTAATGAAACTTCATTAATAAGTTTTAAGTCCCAGGTGATCCAATTAACCTTATTTTTTTAAATCCTTAGCCACATTTTAAAACCATGGACACTCATCTTTAAATAAACGCTCTGAGTAATGAAAACAACACCTCAAAAAAAATAATAAATAAATGAATTTGCACATATTATAACTTTAACAAGAAAAAGTCAATAAAACTCAAGCAATTACTATTTTGCATAAAGAGAAGAATTCTGAATGCTCTGAAGTCTACAGAATGCATTGCGTTTAAAATGGCTATATGAAATTCCATCCAATTTGAATATCTTAATAATAATGAAAAGGAAGGCTTACCACCAGAAGCTGAGTTTTTAAGAACTGATTCCTTTTGGACTCCTTTTTCAATTCGTAACGTGGCCCACTGTTGAAAAACAAAAGGTATTAATTTAAACTGCTGACAGATACAATTTTAAATCTTTAAGGAGCTCTGGTAGCGTAGTGGTTATGAATCGGGCTGCGAGCCGCAACATCAACAGTTCGAAACTACCAGCTGTTCCGCGGGAGAAAGATGAGGCTTTCTGCTCCCTTAGAGATTTACAGCCTCGGAAACCCTGTACAGGGTCGCTATGAGTCGGAATCGACTCCATGGCATATAACAACAACAACAACAAGCTATGCTTATCAGATGTAAAATTAAACAACATATCAAAGTACTATTTAATTAAAGAGAAATTCCAGTTGATTTCTGAGATAGCATATTCAAAGTCCCAGATATGCTTACTGAAATGCTCTAATAAAATGAAGAAGACATCATTTTTCCTTATATAAATTCCTTGAAGGTCCATGGGTGACACAGTTTGCACTAGATAACTAACCTAAAGGCTAACAACAGTTTGCATCCACCTAGCAGGGCCACAGAAATACGCCCTGGCAATTTTCTTCTATAAAGATTAAAATAAAAAAGGGAAAGATGGAAACTAAAAATTCTGAGAAGAAACTAGTCTTCAGACTAGTGGTCTACACAAACTATGGCCTCATCTACTCTGAAATCAGAAGAACTAATGGTGCACAGCCACCACTACTGGCTGTATTGATGAGAGCCACAGTAGATGGATCCTGATAGAAGGGGAGAAAAATGTGGAACAGAACTCTAATTCCTAAAAAATCACACTTACTGGATTTTATGAGCCAAAAGACTCTCCAAGATTATCACCCTTGAGCCAAAAACTACCTTCTGAGGGAAACTTTCAGCTAAATAATAGATTAGCTCATAAAGAATATTACCAGCGAATACTACACACCTTTAAAGAATCATCTATCTAAGACCAAACAGGGAGCAATTACTCTAAAGCAGAAAAAAGAAAGGGTAAGAGAAACCAGACTACTGGACACGAAAACAAAAATCCTCAAAAAAGATTAAAGTTGGACAGAGAAAAATACTGTTAACTGATGGTACATGGAGGGGATTATAATCAATGAAAAAAAAAAAAGTTGTCAAATATTTTATTTTACCTTTTGATTCATAATCAATGCTCATAGAAGCAGCAATCAAGAAATCAAAATATGCATTGCATTAAGCAAATCTGCTACAAAAGACCTCCTTCAAGTGTTCAAGAGCAAAGATGTCACATTGAGGACTAAAGCGCATCTGACCCAAATCATAATATTTTTAATCACTTTATATGCATGTGTAAGCTGGACAAGGCATAGTGGTGTGGCACTGTGGGTTAATGCACTGCATTGCAAGGTTAGTTTGAATGGCAAAGTTGGTGGTTCAAGCTCATCAGCTGTTCCTAGGAAATCTTATACAGGCTCCCTATGGTTGGAACTTAATAGACACCACTTAACAACAACAAGCTAGACGATTAATCAGAAAGACCAGAGAATTGATGCATTTGAATTATGGTGTTGATGAAGAATATTGAATATATCATGGACTGCCAGAAGAACAAATACATCTGTCTTGGAAGAAATACAGAATTAAGAATGGCAAGACCTTGACCTACACCTATGGATGCAGTAGCTCAAAAGAGGATCATTCCCACCCGCTCAGTACACAGGGTAGACAGGGATGGGCAACTTGGACATTGGCTAACCAAAGTGGGGAGGGGGGGAAGTCTACAAAGGCCAGAAGTGACTGGCTTACAAGCTTTCAAGAGGGAGCCTAGATCCAGAGCGTGCAGAGGAAGGTAGAATCTCCATTGAGTAGTATCTAATCTGTCTGGGTGGGGCTGATGAAAGGAGATGGGGAGAGGACTCTTGAGGTACAGTAGTGAATAATTGCTATCAGGACTGACTGTGAGGGTTGGAAATGCAAAGGTAGACGTTTTATAACAAAAGCAGGGGAGTGGTTGACTTTACAGTCCAGGATTGGAGGTCCCTGGGCCCATAAAGGGAGAAGAGTGGAGTGCGGGACCCTACCCAGAGAAGGAATGACACCAGAGAAGGAGGCAGAGATGATGATGTGGAGAAATGGAGTGGTTGGGGACTCTGGACCCAGGAAGGGAGAGGTGTGCTAACGTGTGTGCTGATTTGTGTGCTGACTTGTGTGCAGGCTTATGGGGTATAGTCTTTGGTTGTTTGATGAGGCATGGAGGAGATTGTAATCATGGCAATGAAATGATATACGACAGGATGAATGTAAAGCTAATGTTCTCCCATGTAAACTATCACATAATTCATACTAAAAACGTTAGGAAAAAAAAAATGTCAAGACGCTGTCTCCCATACTTTGAACAAGTTATCAGGAGGAACTGATTCCTGGAATAGGACATCATGCTTGGTAAAGTGAAAAGAAAAAAAGAGGGAGACCCCAATGAGATGGAATGATATTGCAACAGAGAGCTCAAACATAACAATAATTGTGAGGATAGTGCAGGACTGGTCAGTGTTTTGTTCTATTGTACATAGGGTCACTATGAGTCAGAAACAACTTGATGGATTCTAACAACAACAGGCCTCAGTTTCACCAGCTGTAAAGTGAAGATAATAGTTACCTCATGGAGTTGTTATGAGGATTAAATGAGATGCTGCTGTTATTGTTAAGTGCCATAGAGTTGGTTTTGGTTCACAGTGATCCTGTATAGGGTTTCCAAGAAGTGGCTGGTGGGCTTGAACTGCCAACTTTAGGTTAGCAGTCCAGGGCTTATTCTATAGCACCACACTAGGATAACTCAAGTAAAATAAAGGTAACTATTTACCTCATAGCAAATTAGCCATTCAGAAGCAAAACACACTGAGAAATCCCTCATTGCCTGCATCAGAAATCGGCAGCATGAGACTTGGAAAGCTGGAAAGGAATCTGTGAAATTACTAAGGAGATCATCAGACCATCAAGTCAAAATGAGTAACATAAATGTTGTGATTATGAGGATCCACAGGTTTGATCAAATTTGAGAACTGGAAAAATCAACTCCCATTCTGCTTTATATGTGCAAAGGAGTGGGAAGAAACAAATCAACATGTGCTGGGTTGTTTTCTTTATACATTTTTTACACGTTCAAAATTGGGGTCTTGATGTGGTACTGCAGGATAATCACCGGACTTCTAACTGCAAGATCGGCAGTTCAAACCCACCAGAAACCCTTCTCAGAAACCCTATATAAGGTCACTATGAGTCGAGACCAACTGACTCAGCAGCACTTAACAACATCATGGTTCAAATCTATAAGTGAATTTATTAATTCACACACCACAGAATCCCAATGACTACTTGTCTCCTTTAAAAAAGGAGCAGTCCTGGTGTGGTACTGTCAGATAAAGCACTGGACTGCAAGCTTGGTTTGAAACACAAGGTCGTCAGTTCAAACTCACCAGCTGCTCCTTGAAAACCCTGCACAGAACTGACTCAATAGCACTTAACACCAATAACAAAACGTTATATAGGAAATGAAAATTCTCGAAGCTAACAATGTCTAAATTGATTTGAGTGGGATGGAAGGAGGAGGCCAATGTAAAAGACTTTGTAATAATCATAATTAGGACTTAACACCCTTGAAGGGGCAGAAAAGATGGAATTTATTAATATGTTAAAAAGTCATATTAGTCTTCAGAAGGGATCAAAAGGAATTAAACAGAGAGGCTAAATAAATAAACAGAATTAAATAAATAAGAAACTAATTGACCAAAAATAAATATCCTAAACATGTTCCTGAAGGTCAAGGCATTAGGCATCATCTGACATATTCATCAAGACCCGGCACAACAATCCGATGAGCCAAGTAGGAACTTGTCACTTGTACTTAGAGAACAATCTATAAATAGAGTTCTAGTCTTTCAGACTTCAAGTGGCAAGTCACTGAGGATAATAATAGTCAGATTTCACCTTGTTGCATCCTTTTATCTGCCTTGCTGATTTGCTGCAAGAGTTCTCAACCTCTGGATGTACACCGCCCATTTTTTCTCAACTGCGACGAAAGGTTCATGTTCATAATTTTCTATGGAAAGCTTTAGTATCTATGAGGGGGCTTCAAAAACTTCATGGGAAAATTCCATTATCTTTTCATTCCTTTTTTCTACTAATTTCTTCAAGCCTTCTCTTTTGATCATTTGCAAATAGACCAAAGATAGTATTAAAATTTATAAACAACAATCATTGACTGATACCAAATAGAATTTGCACTGGAAAAATCATTTTCCTTTAAGCTAACTCGCCAGTGAGGTGCCTATGC